TATTTGGATGTAACATAGGGGCATGATTGAAAAAGCAAGCCACAGCAAAACATTGGTTTATAGTATCGGAATGTGGCCGTGTGGGAGCAGCCATGAGGGTAGTTCAGTGTGTGTGTGTGTGTGTGTGTGTGTGTGTGTGTGTGTGTGTGTGTGTGTGTGTGTGTGTGTGGGTGTGTGTGTGTGTGTGTGTGTGTCCAAATAGAGTTGAAATGAAGGATAGCCAAATATATGTATCAACCAAGCTGCAATCAAAGAGACAGGAAGAGGAGACCAGCATACACAAAATAAAAAAAACACACAGCCTACTAGAAGATTGTACTTAGGGTCTGCGGTGTTGTGGTTCTTTGAGAAGCGAGGGGAGGGAGGAGGGGGTAGGAAGAGAAGAACGATGAGAAATAAAGAGAAAAGGGAGGCAGACATCTCCAAAGTTGGCGCGTTGGGAGAACACCTTATAATTATCTACATCCGCTCTGTGAGCCCCAGCCCGCAGAATGGACAGATACAACAAAGAGAGCAAGAGAGAGAATCTCATTCACATATCAAAGAAGGAATAGACACACTGATCAACCATACAAACACCCACAAACAGTTCATATTTTTTATAGGCAGGCACGCCCACACACCAAACACACACGGACACAGGCTTATTATGGGGCTGAGTCCAGACTGCGTTGAGTGCGGTTCCACACCAAGTGTCTATTTTGAAGGGTTGTAAGCCAATTCCAGATTCCCTGTCTCTTTCTCCGTCTCGCTCCGTCTTTCCTCCTCAGTTCCTCCCATGCAGCCAGCGTGGGGCATGGCACTACGAGGTCAGGCAGTAGGCTCCATAATTACCCACGCCGAGGGTAATTATCAGGTTGTTTGACGAGGCCTTTTAAGTGTTAAAGTGCCGCCCGCTGGCTCCTTTTTACGGATCACCATCGGGTCAAGTTTAGAGCCGCAATATATGTTTATTTTCACTTTCAATGAATCAGCATGATTACTCTATTAATCGTTTTGTTTATTAAAAGGTTCAAAAAAGGTTAAATGGCAATCAAAATGTCGATTTATAAAAAAAAAAAAAATTATTATTATTAACTTTACAATTCTATGAGAGCATCGTTTTAGAAAATATTTGTAATTGTTGCTCTAAAAGTGACTAAACCAATCCATTTATATATTCTAAATTGTTGCCATTTATTTTCTGTCGATTCACTATTCAATGAATTGACTTATTGTTTGAGCTCTTGTGGAGTTTTGCAGTTTCATGGATCTCCCCTCATACTGTGTGTATCTGGGTGCTGTATGTGCATCGCTTGACCTTTAGGGGTCAGTGTTCCTCCTGATGGCCTTTCTACAGCGTGGGAGGGGGTGGGAGATAGATTGTGTTCAGGAATGTGATTGTGTGCAGCTATGCATTGATCCAAGGGAGTGTGTCATTGTTTCATCCTTTTAACGTATGAGGTTGCTGTATTGCAGTAGTGCAGCAGCAGCATTGTTTATATTACATGTGCAACAATAAAGTGCTTTTATTCTTAAATAATTCAAATATTTTGATAGTTGCGATTTCCCCACCTCTTCCAGGTTATGATGACTCACTTTTTTCAAAGGAATTGGGCTGCCATTTGTTGCCTTAAAATATTACAACACTAAGATTAGTTTTAACTTGGACTTGAGTTTCAACTAATGTCTCCTTCTCCTTATGTTCCTAGGTCAAGGCAGGGGAAGTAAAAAAGCTATTCTGATCTCAAGGAGAAGAGAAAATCATTAACTCTTGTGATCATACTTCTGTCCCCGTGAAGCCAGATCCTTTTAGCTGAGAGAGATGGCTAACTGACCCCACCGGGAAATCATTTACTCTGCACTTGCTGCGCCAGCCGTCCCAGGAGAGGTAATTTTATCTACCTGCCTGCATTTCTCAGTCGTTCTACGTCTCAAAGTGCTCACACTGCAGTCGTTCGTGTGTCCTTTCCAGCAGACGACTATCGGTCCCTGGAGGCGTGTCATCAGCGCTCGTTTGAGAATAATTTCACGGGACTCTGCTCGCATGCTCTGTGTTTATTTGACTGCCCAAAATCACAGACCCTCCTTGTTCTTGCGACTGTCCCACTCCGGGGCCTGAGTCTCTCTTCCGCTCGTGTGATCGTCCCGGCACACTCTTTTGCTCGGCGCTCGTTTGACTGTCCTTCCCAGGAGGATTCCTCCTTGTCGTTTATTTGACTTAATTACTATGCGGGCTTGGTGGAGGGAGAGGGGATGAGTGACACTTCACTTAACAACCAGCCTCCCTTCCTCCTGCGTCGTCTGCTGTATGTCTGCCAGCTTATCCTTCATTAAAAGCAAATCTCTCCTCCCACCGTCACCCCCATCCCTCTCGCTCACTCCCACCGCCCGCTGCACAGTGGGTGTTAACGGAGAATGGTCCCCCCTGACAGGCATCGAGAGAGCCATCAAACACCTGTGGGCCCGAGACACTGCCGAGCGGAACCTCACAAAGACGCCGATGCCTTTACACCCCAATGATAATGCATATACACAATGGTGGAAACCAATAGCAGTTTGAAATCACAAATAATTACAGAAACAGCGATTTTACGGCACAATAAAACACCGATTTGTCAGCTCATGTGCACGGGCACACGCACAGAACCAGGTGTCTAATTATAAGGGCACATGACAGACCCGACACATTTTTCTGCCTCGCTAAAACACACGCAAACTCACCACTTACAGTCTAAAAAAGGGAGGGCATCACAAGAGAGGGTGTCGAGTCCTCGCACCAAGATGTTGCATGAACACACACACACACACACACACACACACACACACACACACACACACACACACACACACACACACACACACCCACACACACACACACACACACACACACACACACACACACACACACACACACACACACACACACACACACACACACACACACACACACACACCAGGGCTTTGATGTACTTTTAGTACAAAATAATCGTACATCCACTAAAGTGCATCTGTCATGACTCGTTCCCTGCAGACCTGCCTTCTTGGTTTCAGGACGCTCATCCATCACTCGTACAGTGAGGCAATGCAGACTTTGATGCTCGATGACATATCTCTTGTCTAGTATTGTTGTCAGCAACATGTTCGCTTGTCAGACCGAACACCAAGGAGGATCACAAAAAAGGGGCTGAGGGGAACTATATTCACATTCTTTGAAAGCAGATGGCTGTGTAGAAGAGATGACATTTTCCCATCATGCCTAGAGGCTCCGTGTGAACTGACATAATGGAGCCCAGGGGATGTATGACTTGTAGCAGGTAAGTTCAACGATGATTCTTTCCAGAGTCCATGTGGTGATTGCATGTCATCACCCTTTTAAAATGCTGTGCCAACAACATGCTGAAGAAGCTCATTAAATGCTGAAATACAAAAGTCACATGCAACACCGAGCATCGGCACACACGCTTGGAAGTTTAAAGGGTGATGAAGGAAAATATACTCTACCAAAATTACAACGTGCGCTCTATCTAAAGAATAAAGCATGTCATATAGCAGGCCTCTAAACACAAGTTATACTGTAGCAAACGTCTGGGCTGAAGATAGAAAATGAATTAGAGTGACAAACATCACATTTATGACTGAATGTTTTCCCAAGATTGAAATGATCTGAGTGACCGAGGCTTTGGGTGACAGTCAAACGCACAACGGGATGCCGCTAAACAACGGCAAATCAGCACGTTCGTACGTTTTCAGAGGGCTTGTTTTACGAGAGAAACTGGACTAAAATAAAGAATGGAGAGACCACACTCGCAGCCATATACTTTCGGTCATGTTTTGGGACAAAGAACCACGATAGCCTCCCTCACTGAAATTAAAATGCACAAAAAGACCTTCCCAAAATATGTCAAAAATGTTGCCAGTTATTTCTAGCTGAGATGAAAAGTCTGCTATTACAAAGAGCCTGATTTAGTGTAGGGTGTGAGAGAGGAGACCAGACAGAGAGGGAGAGAGAGAGAGGGAGGAGGAGGAGGAGAGGAAGAACCGGCGCTCCGCAGTCTCCCCTCAAAATAACACACAAGCAGAGGGAATAACATGTTTGCTGTATACGTCAAAAGCTTACACGTGCACGTTATAAAAAAACTCCCTCTTATTCTCCCCCAATATATTCTGCAGCACATTATTTAATGCACACGTAAAATCAACACGCCTGTATAGTTTTCCATTCAAACCAAACTCTACAACTGTTGGATCAATTTAGGATTGAGTAATGAAAAGTGTGGAAACCTGCACGGCCCCTTAAAGAAAGGCTCTGTGTCATGACCGAAGTTTTTGGGACAGAAGCCATTAAAACGGAGGCTCCATTGCCTGTTCGGAGCACTTAACAGGGCTGTACAGTGCTAGCAGAAAGGGGACAGCACAAGGGGAACATTGGTACAGGGGCCAATATATACATTTGACTCCAGGCCTTCCTCAGCATATGGAACCAATCTGACTGTTCGTAAGAAGAATAGTGGACTCTGAGGGACAGGCAGGGAAGGAAGGAGTGAGTAAATGGGAGAGAGAAGGGTAAGTTAGATGCTGTGCGCACTCAAAAAACTGAACCGTTGACTTTATTTACATGTATAATGTCCCCAAATTACTCATGGCTGTATTAGATTAGTTGAAAGCAATACTATTAAGTTGAACCTACATATTTTGTATTTAAATTTGCTTTCAACTAACCTAATACAGCTATGTGAAATCTGTTGACATAACACATTTAATTAAAGGCAACGTTTCAGTTTTTCAGTGTTCTGACCAAGAGTGAATGAAAGAGACACAGAAATAGACTCACAGAAATAGAAAAAAAGGAATACTCAACATGAGAAAGAATGCATGAAAAGGAAATCTTGAAAGAGCAGCCAGGGGCGAGGGAATCAGACTAAACAAGCTACGTTAAAAGCACCAGCAACCATGTATCCTGGAGACGGGGGGGGGGGGGGGGGGGGGTGGGGGGGGGGGGGAGCAGAGAATGGGCTTACCCTTGTATGACAGCCTTAGCCTGGGTACGTTGTGCTTGGGCTCTCCACCTCTTCCAGGCTGCACCGCCCCACACAGCAGCACTACAATCCCAAACAGGTAATCCATGATGCTGGAGCACTGCTGGCTGGCCTCCAGACCAGGGGGCACTCACACCCCCGACCAGTGCCCAGAGATGAGTGTCTCCCTCTGGGGTACGCCGAAGCCTGGAGAGTCCCTCCAAGCGAGAACAGAAAGTGGAGCTTCCAGGGAAAAGGGGAAAAAATCCTGGTGGTGCTCCCCAGCTCAGAGAGCAGACTGTAGGGGGGACTGTTCTGTGGTGTGAAGTGGGTGGAGGGGTGCCGCTCACATGGCTCCCTGTGTGGAGGTCCAGGCTTAATAGTCCCTATCTGTTCCCCCCCTCCCCAGGTGAAGGCTTCAGCTGGAGATGAAAGGTAAAGCAGATCCACAACAGTCAGGCTATCCTTTTTTCTGGAGTATTTCTTATGTTATCTCTCTCTCTGTCTTCTGGCTTCTTCTCTCTGAGCAGACACTCACAGCAACCCTCTAATCCTTGTGTGCGGCTCCACCAGACTGCGAGGGAGAGAGAGGACGAGAGCGAGAGCCACACCATCCACAAGAAGAGAGGGGAGGGAGAGCAGCTGAGGGAGAGAGAAGGGGAGTGCTGGTGAGAGAGAGAGAGAGGGGGGGGGCAGGAGGACTGGAGAGCGCCGATGCAACCAGTACGGTGGAGAGGAAGTGTGCTGGATACTGAGGGTTTTATAGTGTCCTCGCTTCCGCAATGATTTCCTATTTAGTTAGTCATCAATTTTCCATTTCCTTTAATATCTCACAGCCAAGCCTTTCTTTGGAAAACCTCAAACCAAGGCTGGGTTTTATTGCTGCTGTCAGATGATTTGCAGGTCACCTGTATGTCCTAAGGCTAACGTCTGACAAAGATTGACATACTGAAGTGATGGCTCCTAATAAATCATATTTGTATTAAGCAGAATTAGAACTTAACGAGATGTGAATGTATTTTTTTTGTCCAAATCCTGTATTTTATCTCAATAAAGTTACATTTTCTGGTTAACATTTAGTATGGTAAGAACGGCATGAAGTGTTAGTTCAGATTGAAAACGCACTCTTGACGTTGGAAACAATATTTGTCATCTTATCTCTTAACATTTGAAAGGTCTTGCAGGTATTTCAGAATCAACTCAAAATAAAGTGGTTTATTATTATTATTATCTAATTGTAAGATTTATTTTGCTTTGTCAGACTTTTTTCACCATGTCATGATGCTCCAGATCTCAGGAAATTACTTGTTGAGTATGTTGTTGTTGTTGTTGTTGTACAACCAATAGAAACTGAATACATCTATTACAGTTACAGGAGTTCTAGTTTACATTTTGTATAGTAAGAACAGCAGAGAGTGTACATTGTTCAGATTGAAAGTGCTCTCTCGACGTTGCAAACAATTAATTGACAAAATAAAAAACACACACTCAGTCTTCCTTGTTTGGCCAATTATCATGAAACTGTAGATTTGTTTAAAATTGTAATTAAGACATTCATGTTGGATTAAATGTTGGGACTGATTTGTTGGATTTTGTCAAAGAAACCAAACTGACATCTTATTGGAAAAAACACTATTTAAGGGTAAAAGCACACTCTGTGATTTTTTGTATGATATTTACAAGTAACGTATTTTTTGTAAGTAAACAGATTTCACAAAGAGTAGTTAGATCACTAAATATAAGAAAGGCCTGTGAATGATCCTCCACCTTATCTCTTTACATTTTAAATGTATTGCAGATCTTATTTATGAACTTATTTCCCCTCCGGCTTGAACCTTGGGTTTGAAGTGAGTGTGGGGGTTAGTAATAATGGGCCTGGGTGACATGGATGAAGAAAAGCAGTCACAGTCCTGGGAAAAGTTAGGAGGAATAAATCAAGACAAAACAAGAGGGTCTAATTTCTATAAAAGCCGTATCATGTACACTCTAAGCCCCGCTTCAAAAAAGTAGATTATAAGGAAAAGTTAGAAAAGGCTTTTGAGTTCCGAATTTACATATTTTTTCACAGAGTTACGAGGAGTACTGTACATCAATTACAGATCACAATTTTCCCACAGAGAGTTTAGCCTTTGAGTGTGTGTGCTGGACTTATCCGGATGAAATCTGGCGGTTGAGGGGAACACATGCTGGTAGTTAACCTGTGTAGTCTGGGACAGATCCTGTATCTGGTTAAGTCATTCACATCAGCAGGGCAGGTCAACAACAACCCCCCCTCCCACCCCTCTTCTTAACCCCCACTAGCCCCCGCAGGTGTGTGTGTGTGTGTGTGTGTGTGTGTGTGTGTGTGTGTGTGTGTGTGTGTGTGTGTGTGTGTGTGTGTGTGTGTGTGTGTGTGTGTGTGTGTGTGTGTGTGTGTGTGTGTGTGTGTGGGCACCTCCTGCTTCCTCTCAGAGGGTGACATATCAGCGGAGAGGTGATAAAAGCTTTGATAAACAGGAGTGCTGATGTGTCAACTCACACACCTAAAGACCCTTAAGGAAAACAACCTGAGAATTGGGCTGAATTAGCACAGTGAGTGTGTTTGTGAAATAAGAGTACCCTTTAAAGACTCCTACTGTGCTTTGGGGAAAGTAATTATTGTTGCTGCATTGTAAAAAGGTCAGGGTTTTGTGTATGTTTGTGTTTTCTATAAAATAGCAGCAAGTAATTATGTATTGGGTTGTTTGTGTACTAAATCATTTCTGGAAAAGTTTGAAAGAAGCGCCGATTGTTTCCTCTAAAGAACTCCAATCTTGTTTTTAGACCATTGCTCCTTTAGGTAAAAAAGAGAAGTGCTGAGATCTGGAAACACTCTATTGTTGCTAAAAAGTATTAGCGAACGTTGCTAAGAGAAAATAAAGGCAAACGTTAACATAATCATCCAAACTGTCCTTTTTCATATCCATCACAGTTGATTGACCTGTTTATACTGACCGTACTTGTGGGCATCCAGTTATGTAAATGTAAATGAGTAAATGAAAAATGATATTTATATTTAGGGCTCTCCTTAACTAAAGACATGATTTGTCGAATAATTAAACTAAATGAATTAGCTGATTTAACAGGGTGCATTGTATTTCAGGTTAAACTCTAAGTAAAGTGAAAGTCTGGCTCAAAAGTTGAATTGTTTAGAACTTATAAGATTGTCTAAGTCACATGCTAACATTATGATATGCTTACCTTTAACCTTTGTGTGCTGTTTGGGTCTGTGGGACCCGTTTTCAGTGTTTACTAAAAGAACATGTATTCAATTTAATTATTTGAACCTGCTTTATTTGGGGGTGGACCTCACCTCCTCTAGGGGGGTCCTCACCTCCTCTAGGGGGGTCCGGGGGAATGCACCCCCGGGAAGATTTTTGTTTAAATGTTGAAGTGAAAAGCATCAATCTGGAGCACTTTGAGCACAACATGAATTTCTGGATACAGCTCTCAACACTCAGATGAAAGGGAGCTGTATACTTTTCAATAATCCAAACATCTTTAGAATATGATCACAAATAACAAATCATTTAAACTTGTTTATTCTTATCTTATGTTACCTAGTTAGCTTCTTTCTTTGTATTTATGCATATTTTACTAATCACTCCCCTTTTAAACTTTTTTTTTTTTACTGTCCTATAGTACACATTGGAATGATTTCTTACTTTATTTGTTACAACTATATTAAATAGATAAAGGTGTGCTCTCTCTCGCTCTCTCTCTCTGTCTCGCTCGCTCACAGAGGCTGTGTGCTCCTCCGTGGCGATGAAGGCTTGCGTTAAAAAATAATAAACATATTTTAAAGTGGGGGGACACAAACGGGATTTCGAAAAGTGGGGGGGACATGTCCCCCCTGTCCCCAGTGGAAATTACGCCATGCGTATGTGTGCGTCAAGTGCAATAAATATATATGCAAGTTGCATCACACACACAGTAAAACTCTGGCCCTCATGTGCTGTATAGGCTGGCATGACTAGGCTGTTCAATGGGGCTGATGTGTTGTAGATTCTGCCAGAAGGAAAATCACGGTCACACTCCTCATGAAGCGGTGAACTGCCGCTCCACATTGCTTTTCTTCCCGACTGTAACGCTGGTCCTGCAAATCAAGCAAGAACGTGATTGGTCGATATTCATTGTGGGGGGTGGGGGGAGGAGGGGTGTTAGATAGATATAGAGTTGTAGTAAGTAGATAGAGTTCGCTATGATTGAGATTTCGTTTATGCATAGGGTAGATTCTTTTAATTACATTTCCTATTTTTTTTGTGAGTATTTTTTACATTTTGGATTTGCTTGGCGAGCTACTTATTGAGGGCTTGCGAGCTACCGGTAGCTCGCGATCGACGTGTTGGAGTCCCCTGGTCTAAGTAGAGTGTTTTTTTTGCTTTGTGAGTCTTTTCTTGCCACGTCATGATGTTCGTAGGGAAATGACTTGTGTATGTTGTTCTTACAACCTAAAGAAACTGAATACGTCTCTTAAAGTAACACCCACGTTTTAATACCCAGGAACTCGACAAGTCACTCTTTATCTGTTGTTCTGAATGGATCCGTGTGCCTACATGCATCCTCCATTGTGCATTCACTTGCACAACCATGGCGCCCACGTCCTCGTCTCTCAGCGCCCCTTTAGTCTAAACAGCCTTTTTACCTGTTTACCCAAAACAAAAAGACGTGTGGACAGACACATGAAAAGTACTCTCTTCTCGCTCTTAGCATCGCTCCATCGACCCCAGCCTCTCTCCTCTGCCCCGATCAGCCACCTTTCTCCCATTTGTCTGCATTAGCCCAACTAATGGCAGCCCGGCTACTTGCATCGATCTTCACCGGGGGGGGGGGTGAGATGTGCAGCAACACGCCTTTATGGCTTGCCCTTTAGGGAGTGCAGCAACAGTCCGACCTATCCTCGCCGATCTATTTGCGACCACGCAACAACCCCCCCCCCCTAACGGCACCACAGCCGGAGTGGCCCTGAGTAATGACGACTTAATAAATGGTGACACGCTGTTGGCGGTGGAATGAGATGCCCATTGACAAGGAGCTTCCAGAGGCTTTCAGCGCCTGCCGGTAAAAATAGAAGAGGACACGAGACACCGTGCTTATGAGGACACAGCGGATAGGGCGTCAAACAGGTCCGTGTGTGTGTGGCGGGTGTCAATGTGCTGTCACTGATACGCTGGTGTATCTTCATCCGGTGGAATGGGAAGCGCCGTTAATGTTTTGTGCAAAGAAAATGATTACGGTAACGTGACCCCAGATGTCTGTTTTACAGAGAACATCGGAAATGTCCCACCCTGTACACACACTGCCCTTCGACCTCTCCCGTTCTCAAGCACACGCCTACAAGTCTGCCCGCTCACATCCTAACTGACCCAATGTCCCAGAGGCCATTGCCACTGCTAGCATGGAATAAATAATTGCTGCTTCGATGAATGACTTATGAAGTTCAAGGTATTAACTGCCATCACTTTTCCTTTGCCCCAGAGGATTCCTCTTCCTATTCCACACCAAATCCCTGCTCCATGTTACAGGAGGTCACACACAAAGCCCTTACTCAGCGCATGACATGTTCAGGATGAGGAAAAGGTGGGAGATAGTCAGGAACTAAGGGCGGAGGGACAGAGGAAGAACAGTAGCAAGGAGTGTGTGATATTACAAAGCTGCATTTCCGTTTGAGAGGAGGTGAACTGCTATCCAAGGCCAGACAAATGGAAAGGCAACAAGGCTTGATTGTGTTTTATTTGCACACAAAAACTGACAAATGTACTTTAATTGAATGTATTATGTCAACAGATTTCACATAACTGTATGAGGTTAGCTGAAAGCAATACTATTAAGTATAAATAAAGACTAGTAGGTTCAACTTAATATTATTGCTTTCAACTAACCTAATGAAGATATGTGAAATTTGTTGACATAATACATTCAATTAAAGTCAACTTTTCAGTTTTTTCAGTATGTATACTTTCAATGGGGCTGATCATATGACT